GCACCTACAAGTGTGTCATCTCACTCCCTCCAGAGAGCGAGTTCTCCACACACACTCCGAGAACGAATGGGGGTGGGTTTCCAGGACGCTGCCGTTCCCTGATGCTGCGGCTCCGGGCCAGCGGCAGGCGAGCATGGAGCAGATGGAGTCCTGGCAAGGTCTCCCACTGTCCCTGCATTAGCAGCATCTGCTCATTACTCAGAACCTTCGCCTGCTTTATCTAATGCTCCAGGAAAAGCATTTTGATTTGATTCATTTCGGTACGGTAACGTGCAACACAATTAGTGGTAAAATCAAACTGGAGGATGGCCAGTGCTGACAATCGGAAACAAGGCAGAAGAAATATGAGGCCAGTGGGTTGGAATTCAAAAAATCACAACTGTGGATCACCTTGCCAAACCTCGGCACCCCAGGTGGGGGTGCAGTGTTCCTGCCGGGCGAGGAGGCGGCGGGGGGGCTCACCGTCTCCCAAAGCAGGTTCCCTCTCCCCTCCGGATCCGCGTCCTGTGTGCACGGACAGACCAGCAAGGGTCTCAACGGCTACAGAGCTTCCCTCTGGCACAACCAAGGGACTGAAGCTCATCAACACATTCTATTTCCTAATTCTTCTCCTCTGTGGGGTACAGTTACAGATTTCACATAGCAGACCCCACAGGGTAAGTTTCCTTTCTGCCCTGTTGTGCCTAAGAAGTGCCTGCTCGCTGCTCCTGGAAAGGAGCAATGCAGAAATGAACCTCTGATCATCCCGATCCATCTTTGCCCAGGAGTAGCTTCTCACAAACATGTTGGTATAAATATCACAGCGACAATCTGTTAAACCACAGTGAAACCAAAGACAATGCCACCTGAGGTCTGGGGGAGAAGTGAGAAGTTGTTGTTTACCTCGGAAATAGTAACAGCCCGGATCAGACTGGTAACACGACTCGGAGGGATGGAGAGGCAGGAAAACACAAGAGCTCTCATCAAAGAAACAACCCGAAGACCAAGAGGAATTCGAAACAAACCCAAGGTCTAGTGTAAACACACAGGCAGCCATGGAAGCGGAGCAGGTCGTACCTAGAGTGGGGACATCCCCAGCGCAGGACACCAACCCCGGGAGGACCCGGCCGGCAAACGTGACGATGCAAATGGGAACAACCAGGTGGGCCTACTGGGCCGAAGTTAACATCCAGAAGCAGACCGACGAGCTGAGAGAATTCACACCTGCAAAGTGGTAAAGGCAGCGCCGCAAACCAGCGAGGTGGAGACGGGCTTTCTAAACACAGATGCGGGAAAACAGGCTACACTCAAACCCCTGTCTCATAACACCAGTCCAGGATGGACTCTCTGTTGACCAGGATTTAGATACAACACCACGAGAAGAAAAAGGAAGAATTGCAAGTAGCAGGTACACATGTGAAAACCTCACCCTAAGAGAAATGTAAACCGCAACTACATTTGGATACCACTTCCTAGCTATCAAAATGACAAACACCTGAGCGTCTGACACAGGCTTTGCTGATAAAACTGTAGGGAGATGAGCACTCCTTCACACCTTGCTGGTGAGAGTGCAAAATGGCATTACCCCACTTGCATTTTTATGGACAGCTGTCCTCCTGCACTCACACGAGCTGTCACACACACGGGGTTTCCCGTGACAACACTGAGACGGCCGACGATCAGAAACAACAAACACGCCCGTTCCTCGGGGAGGGCCGTGTGAAGGAACCGCGGCACTCGCACAACGGGACCCCGCGCAGGGGCGGAGCAGCAGTGTACGCTGCGCACGCTGGCACAGGCGGCCTTCCGAGACGCGCCACGTCATCACACCACTGCTCACAACCGCCGAGAGGACAAGCCACCGGCGTGCCCACCAGTGGCGAGCGAATGAAACACACGGTGCGCACGCAACGGAATGGTGTTTACCCACGAACAAGGACGGGCCCCTGCCACTGGTGACCACATGGACGGACCTTGAGCGTGTCTGCTCAGTGACACAGGTCAGAAAGAGAAGGACGAGCACTGTGTGACCACTTGCATGTGGAACCTAAAGAAGTCAAACCTGTAGGAACGGTAACGTGGTGGTGACCCGAGGAAAAGATTTACGATGTCTAAACGTACAAACTTCTAACAAGCAGTAATCGAGCCTTAAGTATAATGAATTCAGACAAGAATATGGTGTTATAATTATGTGATATAATAAATACCACAACAATGGCAATTGTATTACACTATATAAATGTGTGAAATTAACTAACACACTATCAAGCTTAAACTTACACATTGTTACACATCAAATTTATACAACTAAAAAAGATACGGCACTAAGTGAAAAAAAGCCAAGTTATGGAATACTACAAAGCAGTATGTCATCCTTTGTTCAAATGGAAGGGATAAAGAATTGATATTCGTATTTGCTTACATTTGCAATGCAGAAATGCTGGAAGGATCGACAACATCCTGAAATACACGGCTGCGGTAGCACTGAGCGGGCAAAGTGAATAGAAGTGAAATGTCTCAATACATGTGCATTGTGCTATTGTTTGTATTAGTTTGATTTTACAGCCCTAAAATGTTTACTTGGTCAAAAATATTTATTATAAAATAAATCCACCCCTTTATGGATTAAAATATTAAAATCACACACACAACTACCACCTAGAAAAACAAACCATAAACGTAGTCCACTGAAGAATGACAAATTGAAAAGATATTTGAAATAGTTCTTAGTCCTTTCTTTTCAACCAGAAAGGATAACAACCCAAAGAAAAAACGGGGAAGAATGCACAATTTGCAGAGAAAGAAACACATACCACTAATAGGAAGTAACACGACGGGAAGATGTTCACGCATACTCACAGGAAAGCAAACAGAAACCGCAGTGAAACTCCACTTCCGCCTCTGAGAGGCACAAGGAAACAGTCGCTCTCGCGTGCTTTTGGTGAGACTGACTATAAACTGGAGGAATGTTTTAGGCTGGGGTGGGGGGGCGAGGGGGATCTGGCGATCTTTATTAAAACGTAGAGCACCTGTAGCCTCCAACCTGGGAATTACTAGTCATTCACCCTGTGGATACACCTGCACGAGGCCATCCCAATATTTGCTCAAGGTATTGCTTGCAGCAGTTTTTAATAACAAAGACAAGCACTCCAAAGGCGCCTCGCTGAGGGCCCTAGGGAGTGAGTGCATTACAGCACAGCCAGAGAATGCAACACTACAGAGGCTGGGAAAGAATGAGGCTCACCTGCGAGTGCCAGCACAGGAAGACACCTGGATGTGGTGCGGGGCGAAGAAAGCAAGGTGCAGAGAAATACCCAGAGCAGGACCCACGTGTAAAATGTGCGGGGGCCTGGAGGTGGAGGGGCGGGGAGGGCCCCTTCAACTTCTTTTTGGATACATTTCCTTTTACATGTTAGACTTTTCTGCTCTGAATTCTATGAATTTTTTGAACCAAGTATTTAAAAAATATTTTGGCGATTATGTGCCACGTGTTTACGGGAGAAAGTAGTTTCTCTGTCAAATCTACATGGCTCCCAACCTTTCGGAGCCACGGCAGCGACGAGGGTGACAGACAACCCTGACAACGGAGAACCGGCCGCACGCTTGCACGTCACCTCGCGCTGCACTTCCAAGTCCACGAGCCACGAGACGCGGGCACAGCTAGGGCAGGTGCACGTCTCCGTGTCTCTGCGTGTACCATCACACAACCAGAGCGACAAGCACGCGTGGCCCCGGAGACACACCGCAGGTCTGGATCCTCCACTGACTAATGGCTCAGCCTCAAGCAGATCGCTTCGCTGGTTACCCTGCACCTCAGGCTCCCCATCTGAAGACAGCTGTGTGTGTGGCGGGGGGGGGGCTACCGGACAACCCTAAAACTGTACGCTCTGAACTTAAAAGTGCCGCAACCTTTGCATCGCTGTCTAAAAAGGACTCGTGGATGATTTGGGGAGCAGCGAACACACCCGAGCTGCTCGTGTGCGCTCTGCCCAGGACCTCCACACACAGACATAAAATATCACCCACCAAAACACACCCGGCTTGGCTCCGTCTCTGGAAAAAAGTCCATCAACGGTGTCCGCTAGTGTCAAACCGCAAAGAACAGAGTCCACGCTGTTAAAACCACACAATGAAAATACTTGAGTCTCAGCCCCGATTTCCATGTCCTCCCAATGGCACAGGCACAGAAAGTCCCCGTCACCCGCCTCACCGCCGTCGGTCCCCCTGGGCCCACCGGCCACGCCTCGCGGACTCGGAGACCGGCAGCGCCGCTGCGACGGGAACGCCAACGTTCGGAAACGTTCTGTGATCCAATTTTGGGCAAGTGGGGAAACACGGCTTTGGAAATTCGAACCTGACACGACAGCGGAAGCTAGGGGCGTGAGGTGAGAGTCCGGGACATCCGTGGCCGCTGAAACCGCCACACCTCCTAGCCGTGCACGCGAGTGTTTCTGTCGTGGGCTGCTCTGAGCCACGCCTGTAACCCACAGGTGCGCACACCCGAGAATCAGCCCCAGGGAGACAACGTAGCCCCACGAACTACCTCGTATGGGGCGTCAGTGGCAGGAAAAGGGAGGCGCTGACTTTTTTTTTTCCTGTTTCCGCATCTGTCAATAGATTATCTGTGTCTACCCTTCTTCACTGTTCCCTTTGGACTGGGCAGAGACTAAAGGAAAAGTAGGCCAAGTATATTTAATATTTTACACCAAACAAGTTATCTGCTTAAGATGGCTTGGCCAGCCCCGAGCCTGGCACCCGCACGCGGCCCGTCAGCTCCAGCAGGAGTTAAACGCCAGTTTTAATGGGCGCTGTGTTCCAATGCCCGCTAATGCATCGAGGGTGATTGGCCAACTTCTTCACAAAAAGGCAAGACTGAGTGTGTGTGTGTGTGTGTGTGTGTGAACATGTGTGTGTGCCCACGTGTACGTATGGAGGGATTACAGGGGGGAGCCGGCCACAGCTGCTTAATTTCTGTAAAGCCTTTTTTTCCCCTAATAGAGAGGAGGGTTGCAGTTACTTACCATCCTCATAAGCCGCCACCGCCAGCGAGCTGTTTATCCTCACAAAGGAGACATATGGCTGCGTTCCAGGCTCATCCTCCTCGTGCTCCGAGGCCAGGGAGGGGGCCATGTAGTCCCAGGTGCGGGTGTCCCACACCCTCACGTCCCCCGATGTGTAGCTGGAAAAGAAGGACACAGTTGGTTCCAAGTGCGGATGGAAGAGCAGGGCCCTAGTGGAGAAGGTGGGGAGAGGCTCAGGACAGCCGAGGGGCGCGATCCGGTGGGTGTGGAGCCCCCCTGCCGCCCTGGTGGATGAGGGACCCCGCCAGGAGGAGGTGTCACTGGCTGGCACGCACCCTTCACGTCCTCACAGCACAGCGCTGGCGCCCCGGAAGAGAGCACCACACTACAGACTTGTGGGTGTCGAGATCCCCTTGTTTTTCCTTTTACACCATTATAACCCGCCTGCTGCCTTAAGTTCTCCCAGTAAAGAGATCACTCGCAGAAATTTGTAGAAGCCACAGTGTTCACGCACATAAACACACAAGAAAGACAGGCAGAGGGAGAGAGAGAAACCAAGGACTAATGGCCTTACAGGCCCAAGCTCTCTAATACCTCACCCATGTATCAGATTTGACTGATTAAAGTCCCTAAAGACTAATTGATTTGCTGAAACAATTAAGTCTTGCCTTTAGCAGCCAGACAATGCTGCCTCCTCATGAAAAGCCCTTGCCGAAATGCATGGCACTCCCAGTGCTGCCCACTTAGAAAACAGGAGCCCTCACTCTCCGCTGCTGCCGTGGCCACTCCAACAAAGGGCGCTCTCCACCGATGCTGACGCAGGGCCAGGACTGGCTCAGACCCGAGGCCCCCGGGAAAACGGACCGGCCGGCTGAGGTGGCGGTGCGCTGCCTGCCACTGGGGCATTTGCGCCAAGTTCCTGACATCTGCCACGGACGGCACAAGTCAACACGTCCATCAACTGTGGGGAGGCCTGCGAGAGCTGTTTTAAGGGCCTCAAGATGTACTTACACAAACACCAAGACAGACAGACGAGTGAAGGGGTCCACAGTCCCCCCAAGGCCCAGGACATTGCTCTCTCAGGGTTTCTCTGATCTCACCTTAAAGCGTAGCGTCGAACAAGATCATCTCTGAGATTTATTTACTACTGAAATCTACGGCATGATTCATTATGAAGCAATTACAGATCAATTTCTCACGTGAGATTTCTTAATAGAGAAACTATTAAGAATCAGTGGTCTGGCTCAGGAGAGCTTCATTTACTAAATGTAGTGAGCAGCCTTTCTCTCAAACTGTTGGTTGACAGTAAATACGTGACCTGTGTAATTCACAGGGCATTCTGTCACACACGCTCCAGGCTGGAGACTCTCTCCCTGCAGGCAGCAGCTGGGAGCCATGTAAGAGCCACATGCTTCCTAAGACTGGACTGGAGGGCCTCTGCGTGACCACTGGTCCTCCAGGAAAGAGAAACACTCACGAGTGTCATTAGCCTGGCGGCGCACGTGCAAGGGGGGCCAGTCGCAGCCCGGTGGCCAGCGCAGGGCTGCTGGCTCCCAGGCCCGCAGGCTGCGTTCCAGATGGCCCTTCCTATCGAGGGCCCGGGCGAGCACACGTACCCAGCTGCACCAGCACTCCCGGGTACACCCTGACGTCCCAAAAATGACGCAGGTGACCCCTGGCAGGGCCACTTGCTTAGCTAGAGACACTGAGCAGAGAAGACATGTTCGGGTTTCTAGACTGTGCGCAGATTCTTAAGGTTAAATTTGAAGTGAAAGGAACTAGTCAATTCAGGGAAGAAGGGTGAAAAGCATGGCTACGTCTTTCAGAAATTCAGAGAAGGTGAATGAAAAAAAAAAAGAGAATTTCAGGGGTCAGAGAACTAAGGAATTTGGAGAAAAAGCAGGGCAGACCAGGAAAATGTACTTCCTTTCCATTGGGCCTGGCCATTCTGTTTTTTATTGCCTGCGAATGGGACCACACGAGTGGTCTTCAAAAGGTCCTTGGTAGCAGCCCTCAGGGGCCACACTGGGGCCAGCGGGGGCAGAGGAGAGAATTTCGGTGGCCGAGCTCCACCCGACCCCAGTCCCCCTTACACAAGGGGTTCCCAGGTAAAGCAACCCCACACACAGCGTGGGAAACTGCCGGAACACCCGCCAGAGAGCTGTGAAGCGCCACGTGCCGCTCGCCCGCACCTACCTCTTGGGGGGGAGGAGAGAGCGCAGAGATGCCCTGAGAAGGGCGCTGCGGTCGTCTCTGTCGGGCCCTGACGGTCGGCCCCGACGCTGCACCTCCACGTGCCCAGAGCTGAATGCATGCTCTCCTCAGCACGCTCGGCTCACCCCTGAGCCAGCCGCTGCCGAATCCCTTGTTTTTGCCAGTGGGGTTTCTGGTTTTGCCCACCACCCGCGCTGCTGTACACCTACGCTCAAATCACCTCGCCCTTTCTTTTCTCACTCCCAGGAGCACCCTGGAGTCTAATCCCCCAGCCCCTCGTGAGAGACGCACCTCGGCAGCCCCGCTCCTGCTGAGCCTCTCCCAGCTCCAGTCAACCCCGCCCAGGCCAACTCCTCGAAAATACTTGGCTCCACGAATCACCCTCCCTTTCTCCCTTTTTTACCCACACCACACCACGATCGACACTCTGAGAGCAGCCTAGACTCACTCCTGTGGCAACTCTGTGTGTGTGTGTGTGTGTGTGTGTGTGTTTGAGAGAGAGAGAGAGGGGGAGAGAGAGAGAGATGGATCATCTGACTGTGAGTCTCCCCTGCAAACCTACAAGCTTCTGCGGTCGGAGGCTGGGTGTTGCTCACGGCTGTGGATGCAGCCACCGAACAGACTGGAGGAGCACTGGACACCTGGGAAGCCCTCTGTACGTACAACACTTGGGCCCGAGCACCTATGGAGTGAAGGGTTAATTGCCAGCCTAGCACTGGGAACACCCCGCAGACTGGTGTCCACGCCTCCTCCCCACCTCGTTCACTCTTCCTTAGCATGAGCCGGCCCCCAGGCAGGCCTGCCATTCACTAGCTTCCAGAAACTCTCGCCTCTGGACCTCGGCGCGCAGCATCCACCTTTTTGGGGTGCCCTCCCTCCCCACCACCCAGCCTAGTGGGTGTCAACCTTGACTGCACATCACAGAACCACCTGGGATGCTTTGAAGACTCCCAGTATCCAAGCACACCCCAGGTCAATTAAGTCTGACTCTCTGGGGGTGTCCGTGTTTCCAGCGTGCGGCAAAGGCTGAGAACCTCCAGCCTGCCCCAAGCCTCCCAAGTCCTCAGGCCCCCCTCCTCCGCCATGAAGCCTTCTCAGACTCGACTACTATGCCCCCATCTGAAGAAAGGGCATTCACTGCTAAGTGTGATACCCCTTCAATCTGACTGTAAAGTCCTCTGAAGGCCACAGTGCCTTGCGCACAGCTAACAATAAACAAACGGTGACTGAAAGGGGACGCCCACAAGTAACGACTCAAGTGGTGTGAGTGACACCTCCTTTCTTATCTACTGCCCACCTGCCAGTGCTAATGGTCAGAGAAACACCCAGAACACACACGCCAACATGTATTAGACTTCTTGCATGTATTTCCAAACTGATGAAAATATCTCAGTAAGCCCTGGCTGGCATGGCTCAGTGGACCGAGAGCCAGCCTGCAAACTGAAAGGTCACCGGTTCAATTCCAAGTCAGGGCACATGCCCAGGTTGTGGGCCAGGTCCGCAGTAGGGCAACAGATCCCTGTATCTCTCTTCTTCCCTCTATTCCCCTCTCTTTAAAAGTAAATAAATAAAAAATTAAAATAAAATATCTCAATAAAACACAGGATAAGCTAAATTATCTCAGTAAACATGACATTTTCCATAGATAACCATTCAAATTAACTCTATTCTTCACGGCCAAAGAGCATGATAACACAAACGTTTTGCTGCCAAATGACTCAGGAAGCAAGCTATAAGAGACTTTATGTCTCTTTTATGATGAGAACAGAGAATAAATAGCCTATTTCGGCAGGTGATGACTCAGCTGTAGGTTCTAAAACCTAATGCGGTGAAAGCAACCACAGTGGTGGCCCTCTAACTCAGCACTAAAGAAACAGACCTTTCGCAGGGCAAAACACTGGTTGGGGCAGACGGGCCTGGACCAAAACCCTAAACTCGATCTAAAAGCACTTAACCAGCCTTGGCCGGGAGCAGCAAGAACAGACAGCAAAGCGAGGTAGGGAAAGAGGTTGATTCTCCTCCAGAGCTCCAGATGTCTTTATCGCTGCCTAATGACAATTACACTCAACCAATTAAGACACCACCATGACAGTTGCATTGTCAGTAAGCCTTTGGACCCCAACGCTGATGGCTCTCTAATTAGTGCCTGTGCAAAGTACAACTGCAACTAACACGTGAGCTGATGGGAGAACCTAAGGAAGAACTGAAGAGGCAGCCTCGTCCAAACGAGGGCAGGTGCCCCCGCCCATGGCACGGCCGTGGGACTGTGCGCCTTCTCCACCGGTCTCCACGCTCGGCAAGGCCGCGCTCCCCCCCAGACAAACAGGTCAGAGACCACAGCTGGCTTTCTGCTGGAAGAATGGGAACAGCACCTCTCTGGAGCTCAGCACGCCAGAGCAACTGCCAACTTAAAATGATTTATCACCGAAAAGCTTTCACTAACTAGTGTTTCCAACAAGCAGACTACTGATTTGGACTGAGAGACCGAAAGAAAAAGAAGACAAACCGCTAAACACGACCTTCGACCTTCCTTCTCGAGGCAGGAATGGCCTGTCCGGCCGGGGTGCAAGAGGTGGGGGCCTGGTTCCACTTTGCTTCCAGGCGCCAGTGCTTCTTTGATAAAAACCATTTTTTCAAGGCTGTTCATAATAACCTGGGGGTCGTTTTGATTGAAGAGTGCTGGAAGTAAGGCTAAGTGACTTACCCAAGGTCACAAGAAACATTTTGGCAGGACAGCTGGGATCACAACGGGTTCTTGGGCTTTTTTCAACCTGCTGCTCAGCCAGCGAGCCACTCCACCTCCTCAGATGACGGTGTCTTTACACAAACGCAGCTTTTAAGAGCCATCACCACTGGAGTGCAATACGAGGAATTTATTGTTTTCGACAGTGTGACTCAGGCTTGCAGGACACAGCCCCTGCCGACCCTGCCCCGCCCATTCCAC